GGGGGGATGCCACGTGGCTACATACTTAATAAATTGCTTCAAATATCAACAAAAAAAAAAAAAAGGGAAACAGTTTGTTATTACTTTCCCAAAATTGATTAACTCTTGCACCTATTTATTAATTTATTATTAGAATGTTGATATGAATCTTCAAAATAATAGGAATAAGGTGCTAATACCACCAATCTAAAGGCAAAAAAGAATATTTTTGTTTAACAATATATTTTTCTCAATTCTAACTAAACTAACATTTTGGTTAATAAACGTGTGAACAAGTGGGCGTTAGGATATAAGAATTGTAAAATTTTAAAAAAGGTGGGAAAAAAATTCAAGTGAAAATGGTAATTGAAAATTAGAGTTGTATTAGGACATGAATATAATTTTAGGTTAGTTTTGAAGTTTTGCGAATGATTTGAGTGAAAATTTTGAAAAATAATTTTTTGGAGTTTTAAAAATTTTCAAAAAATTCCAAAACTCATCTTCAAGTGAAAATTGAAAATTTTATGGCAAAACACTGATTTCTAAAAAAAGTGAAAAAATTCTTATGTCAATAAAAAAAATTCACTTTTTTGGAAATCAGTATTTGGCCATAAAATTTTCAAATTTCACTTGAAGATGAATTTTGGAATTTTTCGAAAATTTGAAAAACTCCAAAAAACTATTTTTCAAAATTCACTTATATCACTCACAAAACTTCAAAAACAATCCAAAATTATATTCATGTCAAAGCACAACTCTAATTTTCAAATACCATTTTTACTTGAATTTGTTTTTCACTTTTTTAGGAATTTTACCTGTCCAAACGCCCACTAAGTATATTCAGAAATTAGAAGTCCAACTTATTGTAATAATATATTTCAAGCTATTGCCTTGGATATAACCTATGCTACCAACCGTGCTACCAAACAGGTATTAACATAGAATAGATTAGTTTCATTCAAGAATGATGATAACAAAGAATGTAGCATCCCAAAAAGAAAAGACGGCTAATAAATTTCGCATTACTTATCGTTAAATGAAGGAACCCAATTTACAATTAAATGTTTTTTTTTTCTTATTGTCATGGATTTTTAGATGTTAGAAAAGAAAGGTTCAAATTAATGAACTAAGAGGGGGATCGAACTTAAACCTATATCATAAGCTCGTACTACAATTTGAGTTACTGTTCTAAAGAAAGTGCTGGGTGTGTAATTATTGTTATTCGAATTATTAAAAACAAGAAACATGCAGGAACTGAAATAAGAATTAAAAAGAAGAAAAATTGGGTATGATACAAAGTGAAACACAGTTGAGCAGAAGGAAATGAAAGTAATTTTTAGGTCCTGTACAAGAAAAAAGAAAGGAAAAAGCAAAACACATTAACAAATCTGTCTCGCGAGCACAAGAATAAAGTTTCAGCAGTCAGAAGCAGAACGTTAAACCAGTAAAGAATGCCGCTTAAATCCAAGCAAAGTAATTTTTGCAAATTTAGACATTGAACTCAGATTTCTATACAGGAACTTGAACAAGAGGATACATGCTACCGACCAAACCAGCCTCGTGGTGGCTGAACGTCTCCATCATTCATCAACTTGTCCAACACTGTATTCAAATCGACAGCCTGTCCACTCTCAGTCAACCTCCGCACCGTTGCCCTTACTTGGTCTCTTGAAAATCCCATGTTCGTCACTTTGTCAACAACATCATCAATAGGAACCCTATTACCAGTACTGGGAGAACTAGACCCACTACTAACAGCAGAAGCCGTAGGTAGTGCTTGAGGTAATATCCTTGCAGTGGGGAGCTGCTGATAGCCACTTCCACCACTCTGGCCCATTGCAGGTAAGTTAACTTGAGGTGGTTTCATTGAGGAGCCACTGCCATACTGACGTGGGGAACTGCTATAAGGATAAGGTTCACCATGCACAGAGGATGGTGGATATACACCAGAATATCCGGGACCAGGTCTGCTAGGTGGGGGCTCAAACATATTAGGGGGAGCTGCATATAACTGCTGGGATGGAGGGGCTCCACTTGATGGATGAGGAGGTTGGCGGATGCTTGGTGGTGGATAATTCTGGGATGGTACAAAAGGTGTCTCTTCACGATGATGGCCTACTAGAGGTTGAGGTTGTGAGGGATTAACAGAGGAATGAGGGGGTTGTGGTTGAGCAGGTGGAGGTGGCTGAGAGTACATTGGCGGAGGGGTAGACTGATATTGCTGATGTGGAGGTGGTGGTGGAGTCTGATGCTGCTGTGGTGCAGGCAGTTGGTACTGCTGACTTAAGTTTTCCGGTGCTTGACCAGCCGGGGGATAATAAGCTTCTGACTGAGGATGGGAGGGAATTGGATTCTGAGGAAACTGGTTCTGAAGTTGAACTTGGTATGGCGGATTCTGTTGAGGAGGGGGCGGAGGAGCATTTGGAGGAGGTACGGTAGAAGGTGGTTGTGTAAGAGCAACAGGAGGAAATTGCTGGTGGGATTGAAGAGGAGCAGATGCTGTAGGTTGGGATGAATCCTTATGTGTAGTATTGTGGGTTTCTGCTTCCTGCTCAACCTTTGGAGCTTGCGATTTCATGAGCTGCAGCTGAGCATCCATTATTTCCTGTTTATCTCTTATCACCTGAACACCATCTTGCACCTACATGATAATTAANTACATCACGCCAGATTAAACATAAAAATTCATCCTTTACTGATGGGATATCAAATTTTTCATCATTCTCTGGCGCAAAGCAGATGCAACAACAACATTCCCAGTATAATCCCACATAGCGGGGTCTGGGTCAAGCGCAAAGCAGACAAGATGGAAAAATTATCTCACCAAATAATCACCAATCAGCCTTATGATAATACCGTTCATCACGCCACCAGAATGATATCCTAAATATTATGCGTGCTTTTTCCAAAATTTTGATAAATTAGTTTTTACCAAAGACTTCAAAATGATCATCCCACTACAAGCCAGGGTGAATTGATATCACAAAGGAGAAAGCTAGCAAGGGCACAAATGACTTCCAGAACTGAAATCATCACCTGAAGCAAATAGAGAACGATTCACAACCTCCCAATGCAACTTAATTTGTAGTAATTGATATGCAGTGCTTAATGAGCACTCCCTTTTCCCCGCATGTCATTGAGTTGTACCAAGGTTCTCCAGCATCTAAAAGTTTTAGATTTAAAAACATGTTTTTTTTTAAATAAATAGATCTATATACATGGATCAAGGTGTCCTTGCACTGTCATTAAACAAAGAGACAATTAAACCTCTGAGGAAACAATTCATAGTGTATATACCAGAAGTCAGAAGTATAACTATATTGCAGTACTCAGCATAGGTAAAAATAGATGAGGTAAGAGGAAATAACATAAAGACACGAAGACCGTGGTCTTGAAACAAGGGTAAAAGGGGCACTTCGCTTGCATTTCTCATTCTAAGGACAACTACTGAAAAGTGCTAAAGATACTAGTTAGTCTATTCAACAACGAAAGAAACATAGAAGCAGCATACACATACCCAACTCTAGAGCAGTTTGATATATTTCATTTTGGTGCCAAATCAAGAGCAACTTAATTGAAACAAGATGATAAATCTAAGAACTGCAGATACCTGTCTGAGTATATTTTCCAACTGTCTCAATTTTCCATCAGTGACTCCGTGGTTGTTACCAACAGACAACTTAAGTTCATCAACAGAGTTATCAATCTGGCGACTTCTAGTTTCTAATTGTGATAGCCGAGCACTTACTCCCTCCATTGCATGCAGAAGATTATCGGCATACTTCTTAACTGTGTGATCAATTTCCGATAACAAAGATGAATAAACACTGCTCAAATCTTTCTCCACAATAGCTTTGGCAGCTTCAGTCGAGTCAAGAGAACCATAATTCTGCACAGAAGTAGAAACGTAAATACAAAAGAACCCCATTAACTGAAAAAAATGGTGTAGAATTCACATATGGTGTTGAGCAAGTAAAATAATATTAACTTTGGCAGCTTCAGTCGAGTCAAGAGAACCATAATTCTGCACAGAAGTAGAAACGTAAATACAAAAGAACCCCATTAACTGAAAAATGGTGTAGAATTCACATATGGTGTTGAGCAAGTAAAATAATATTAACTGGATAGCTTGGGCTATCCGTCTAAAAAGTTGGATCAATTTGAACTATTATGACGACCCAAGTCGACTCGTTAGGATATTGAAGATCTAACCCCAGAGAACCCGTGAAAAATGAAAATAGCAATAATCTATCTATCTACACACACACATATATATGTCGCACCTTCTCTTCTCTCCTTCTCACGCTACCCGGCAGTTGCGGATCCACGTTCAAGCTTTGGGTTCCTGTGAACCCATGCTCAGTCCCCAAGTTCTATACTATGTTGTACACGATTCTCATAGATCACATCAATACTATCCTTGGGAACCCAATAAAACAAAGGCATGTGGTGCACTAAACAAAGACGTGTGGTTGGTCAAGGAATTAATAACCTGCATTTGCGTAAAGGGGTTGAAACCTCTTAACATGACTTATTTCTTTACCGTTTTCAAAATACAGCTCTTATAAACTAGTAGAATATTATGCTTGGGCCTTCATATTTTAATAATGTAAAAGTGTTGTAAGGTACCATTAAACTAATAGTGATATAACATTTGTGGTCTTTCTCTAAGATGATCTTTTCTTCTCTTTTATTTTTTTCTTTCTTTTTCACAAGTTCACTTGTCATCTTACCTATGTTACTAATCAGTTATCTATAAATGGTGTTAAGTATTGAAAAATATAAAATCTTTACATGTTTGTCGTAAAACCCATTTTTTTCTGGGAAAAATTGCTATTTTCCGTCTTTCTTCTCTAGTCCAACTTCTGTAGTCGGAAGCAGTGCATCCATCTTCTTAAATTCTTGGATCTACCTCTCTACCAGGGATGGAGCTACGACCACGACCAAGCCCGACAACAGTTGATTAGTGGATTCAACTTGTTTTTCTTCTGTTCCTAGTCTGCTTAGCGATTTCTCTTTGTGGTTCTTGTTCCTCATGTAAAAATTTGTTTCAAAATACTATCTATCGGGTTTGTTGAAAGATAGTCGGTCCTGTGAAGAAATAGGCAAAAGTTTGTGTGGGCTCGACCAATGTACAGAAAAGTGTGTGCTTCGTCGCTTAAAGCGCGAAACGACGCAACGCGACACAGTGTCGCTTCCAGCTCCTTGAGGCGACTCGATCTTCAGAAGCGCATGCTTCACCGGAAAAAGCGATGAAGCAAGGAAGCAGAGAAAGCGATGAAGCGATCACTTTTGTGAAAAAAGCACAGGGGGTTCTTTTTTTAAAAAAAAAACATTGGGTCTGAGACAAAACAGACCCTAAATCGACAAAAAACCTCAATCCCCTTCACGAACAGAGGCTCGAACAAAAACAGAGGCTCAAAACAAAAGCTAGGGTTCCATCTTCTTCAGTCGCTCGACCAGTCGACCTCGAAGGCTCGAACACTTCTCCCTTCTTCAGTTCTTCTCGCGACTCGACCCAGGTAATTTCTTCTCCTTTCTTCTTCAGTTCTTCTCGTTTTTTTCTTTTTTCTTTCTTCTCCTTTCTTCTTCAGTTCTTCACGTTATTTTTTCATTCTTCTTCTTCTTCTTCTTCTTTCTTTCTCTCTCTGTTTCTCCAGTCCAGAACAGAGTAAGGAACCATTTTTTCTTTCTTTTTCCTTTTCGTTTGTGTATATTTCAGCATATATATTTAATTATTATATGTATTTCATTTATTATTATATTTCAGCATATAAAATTAAATTATTATTATATTTCAGCGTATAAAATTACTTATATATATGTATTATTCTTAGTTTATGTGATTTTTTAAATGTATATTTCAGTTTATATAATTAATTATTATATATATTATATGTATTTTCAGTTTATTGATTATGTTTTTTCTTATATCTTAATAGGGATATTAAAATGTCTCAAAGTTCGAAAGAGAAAGACCGGCTTGGCGATATGGCGAGAGAGTTAATGAGAAGAATACAAATGTTGTATGCAAGTTTTGCAACAAGATTACAACGGGTGGAATTTATCGCTTTAAATACCATCTAATTGGTGGCGATAGAAACGTCACAAGTTGTCCGAAATGTCCACCGGAGGTGAGGGAAGAAATAAAGAATTTTGTTGAGAAGAAGAAGGAGCAAAAAAATCAAATGGTTCATCAACCAATCTTGATGATGATGATATTGAAGAATTGTCACTTCCAACAAAACGGGGAAGAGATGGGTCAAGCCATGGATCATCGACTAAAGGTCCTATAGATTGCTACTTCTCAAAGAAGCCGGAAGCAAAGGGCGGTGGAAAAGATGTACAAAAAATTTCTAAAGACATTTTGAGGGATCGTGCAGTTAGAGCTTTTGCACGATGGGTCTATGATGCTGGGCTCCCCTTCAATTGTGTCAACTATGACACTTTTGGAGACTTTATTGAGGTCGTTGGTCAATACGGACCTGGAATGAAGCCTCCCACTTACCATGAAATAAGAGGTCCTTATCTAAATAAGGAAGTGGAGGAGACTAGTAAAATTGTTGAGGAGCATAAAGTTGTGTGGAACAAGTACGGCTGCTCCATTATGATGGATAAGTGGACAGCAAGAACGGAAAAATGATTATTAATGTGTTGGTGAATTCTCCCCGGGGAAGTTTGTTTCTTGAGTCCATTGATGCTAGCGACTCATCCACTGACCACATCAAAATGTTCACCTTGTTTCAGAACACCATCGAAAAGATTGGTCCAAGCAAAGTTGTTCAAGTGGTCACTGATAATGCAAGTGAAAATGTGAAAGCGGGTGGCATGATTGAAGGAGCGTACAAGAATATCTATTGGACTCCATGTGCGGCTCATTGTATCAACTTATGTTCGGGGACATTTTCAAGGAAAAACCCTTCTCTACAATTTTTGGTCAGGGCGTTAGGGTACATTCTTATATTTCTCAGCGGCCCTTGTTATTGAATATGATGAGAAGATTCACCATGCAAAAAAATTTGGTGAAACCGGATAAGACAAGGTTCGCCACTGCTTTCTTGACTTTGCATAGTATCCACTTGCAAAAAGACAATTTAAGAAAGATGGTCACTTCAGAGGAATGGAGCAAGAGTAAATTTGCAAAGGAAAGTGCGGGGAAAGAGGTTGCACGCATTATTTCTTATTCTTTTTGGAATAATGTCCTTCATACTCTTAAAATTGGTTGCCCTTTGGTTAAAGTACTCCGTTTGGTGGATGGGGAGAAAAAACCACCAATGAACTACCTCTATGAAGCTATGAATAGGGCCAAGGAGGCTATTCAAGCATCATTCAGTGATGAGCAGAAATATGCAAAGGTCTTTCATATCATTGATGCAAGATGGAATGAGCAACTTCATAGACCTTTGCATGCAGCTGGACTTATTCTGAACCCATCACTCTTTTAAAGAAGTGTGGATAGGATTCCATCAACTTGTTATCAAGTTGACCCCAGATGAAGACTTGCAAGAAAAGATAGTAGATCAGCTTGCTACTTACAAGGCAGCTGAAGGACCTTTTAAGCTCCGACTTGCTATTAAACAAAGAACGACAAAGTCGCCAGGTGACCAAGTGTTTCTATATTTTATAGCTCTAACTTCAATGTATTTTTTATACTTATTAACTCTTGAACATTTTTTTGACTTCTATAGTTGAATGGTGGGACTAATATGGTGTAGAGACTCCGGAGTTACAGGCTTTCGCCATCAAAGTTCTAAGCTTAACTTGTAGCTCATTCGGATGTGAAAGGAACTGGAGTGTTTTTGAACACGTGAGAAATAAAAAGAATTATTTCGTGTTTTGAGATACAGTAAATTATATCTCAATTGTCCAAACTCCTACTAATTAGTTGACACATCTTTTTTGCAGATTCATACAAAGAAGAGGAATCGACTAACATTGAAGCGCCTCCATAATCTAGTGTTCATAAAATACAATAGAGCATTGGGGCGTCGCTACAACCACCGCAATATAATAGATCCAATTCTTTTGGATAATATTGATGAGGCTAATGAGTGGCTAACCGGAGTCCCCGAAAATTGTGAAGATGAAGAAGTATTTGAAGGCGACTCCGATTTCACTTGGGGTGATGTTGCGGTTGGTAGTGGAGTTGGGGAGAATCCTTATGATTTAAGGAGATATACTCCAAGTTCAAGCTCTATTAGGAAGGGAAAAAGTGTGGCTACTACAAG